ACACACACACACACACACACACACACACACACACTGGTCCTCTGTCTCTTTAGACCTCCATCCTTCAATTCTGTCACCTTCCACGGCAGTGGCAGGAAACCAGCGCCCTTCCTAGCCAGACTTCATTCCTTAGAGGCCCAAACTCCACCCTGCCCAGTGGGGACTGTCCCCCAGAAGAAAGCCTGTGCTCTGGGAACCAGAGAAGCAGGATGAGCAACATGGATGGCGAGCAGGTTCTGGGAAGCAGGAGGCCTGATGGGAGGGGTAGAGGTCAGACAAGAGGGGAGCCGGGGAGCCCCGTCTGTGATTGCCCGCAAGGACTCAGTGTCTCCATCAAAATAAACGCACCTGCTGCGCGTCTGGTGGGTGCAGTCCCGCGGACCCAGCACCTGGGATGAGGAGGCAGAAGTTCAAAGCCATCCTCGGCTCCAATGGGAGTTTGAGGCCAGCTTGGGCGTCACGAGATCGCCCTAACACGGGGCTGGGGAGATTGCCTGTGGGTAAAGTGCTTGCCATACCAGCTTGAGGAGAGGAGTTCAACCTTCAGAACCCATGTAAAAGGGGGCTGAGTGTGGTGTGTGCCGGCTGGTGATCTCAGCACCGGGAAGGAAGAGACAGGTGGACGTCTGAGACTTCCCTGGCCAGCCAGCCTAGACTAACTGGTGAATTCTAGAAGAAATAAGGGAGACAACACCCTGGTCTCCACATACGTGAGCATATGGGTGTATATGCACTTCCTCTGAGCCCATGAGTATGAATGCACACACACACACACACACACACACAGACGATGCACTCAATAAATAGATGTAATAAAAATGTCTAGCCAGTACCGTTGTGCACACCCTTAATCCCAGCACTCTGGAAACAGGCAGGTGGATCTCTGGGAGTTCGAGGCCAGCCTGGTCTGCACATTGAGTTTCCAGGCTACCCTGGGCTACACAGTGAGTGAGTCCATGTTAAAAAAAAAGATTCTAACAAAAAAAGAGAAATATTTTTCAATATTGTTGCCCTAAATTAGGAGTAAATCCCTGTCCCTGGAAATGAAAGGTGGGAAGTTGCTAGTACTAGAAGTTGCTGGAAGATGCCAATGGAAGGTTGCTCGGGGAGATCTGCCCAGTATATGGAGTTTTCCTGAGACTGCAAACAGGTCTCTGTCTGATTAGGCCAGCTGAGACAGCTCACTGCGTTTATCAGTGTCAGGATCCTGCCTGGCCGGTAAGAGTCTATCTCCCCGATGACAAGGCTCCCAGGTGCCTGGAAAAGAGGTTCTTAGTCAGAGACCAACGGAAGGTTCGCCTTTCATTCAAAGGGGCTGGAACAGAAGCTGAAATTACAAGGCTTTTGCGGGCTTGGGGAGGTGACTCAGTGGTTAAGTCTCACATTTCGGCCAGGAGTGGCAGCAGCTACGTGCACGCCTGTAATCCCAGCACTGGGGAAGCAGAAGCAGGTAGATATAAATTTGAGGCCAGCCTGGTCTACAGAGTGGGTTCCAGGTTAGCTGGGGCTACACAGAGAAGCCTGTCTCAAAAAAACAAAACAAAACAAAACAAAAAAAAAGCCCATACTGCTGACCCAAATTCAGTTCCCAGCTCCCACAACCTCCTGTAACTCCAGCCTCTGGGAATGTAGTGCCCTCTTCTGGCCTCCTTCAGTATCTACACCCATGTGGCTTATGCTCACACATAAAAATAAAAGTAAATCCTAAAAACCACAAGGTCAGTCCTGGAGAGACAGCTCAGTGGTGAAGAGCACTGGCTGATCTTCCAGAGGTCCTGGGTTCAATTCTCAGCACCCACGTGACAGCTCACAACTGTCTGTGACTGCAGTTCCAGGGGACTCTTCTGGTCTCCACACATAGTGCAAGCAAACCCCCATCCACATTGAATGAATGAATGAATGAATGAAATAATCCCCCACAAAGTCTTGTATGTATATGTGTGAGGGAGTGGAGGGTAGGGATATGGTATGTGGTGTGTGTGTGTGTGTGTGTGTGTGTGAGAGAGAGAGAGAGAGAGAGAGAGAGAGAGAGAGAAAGAGAGAGAGACAGACACACAGACAGACACACAGACAGAGTAGGAAGGCATCTGGCGGAGGTTCCCATCTTGTGTGTTATGTTCAGGTCTCTCACTGAAACTGGGGCTCACTCAGCCATCTAGGTCAGCCGCTCTGCAGGCGTCAGGGATGCCCCTGCCTCTGGCTGTCTGGTGCTGGGTTGCAGACACGAGCTGCTGCGCCTTTTAAAGCGAGTTCACAGCGGCACGCAGGCTCTTCACAGGCTGCCCCATCTCCCCGGGCCTGCGCTTCCTGCTTTTGTCTTGAGTCCCTGCAGCACGGGCTGGCTTTGAACTCCTCGTGCAGCCAGCATGGCCTTACATTCTGACTCTCTTGCCTCCCCCTGGGTGCTGGGTGGCCTCTCTGCCCGCCCTCCTACGGCTCCAGCTTCCCCATCCCTGAAGGGGACAACGCCGCTGTCTGCTTTGTCAGTCACACACACACACACACACACACACACACACACACACACACACACAGAGCATACACACACACAGTCACACACACACAGCATACACACACACACAGTCACACACACACAGCATACACACACACTCACACACACACGACACACACACAGCATACACACACACACACAGCATACACACACACAGTCACACACACACAGCATACACACACACAGTCACACACACACAGCATACACACACACTCACACACACACGACACACACACAGCATACACACACACACACAGCATACACACACACAGTCACACACACACAGCATACACACACACTCACACACACACAGCATACACACACACTCACACATACACACAGCATACACACACTCACACACACACTCACACACACATGGCACACACACACAGCATACACACACACAGCATACACACACACAGCATACACACACAGTCACACACGGCATACACACACGACACACACACAGCATACACACACACTCATACACACACGACACACACACAGCATACACACACACTCACACAGCATACACACACAGGGCATACACACACACAGTCACACACACAGCATACACACACACACACTCACACACACGGGACACACACTGCATACACACACACTCACACAGCATACACACACACACACTCACACACACATGGCACACACACAGCATACACACAGCATACACACACTCACACAGCATACACACACTCACACGGCACACACACAGTCACACACACAGTCACACACACAGCATACACACAGCATACACACACTCACACAGCATACACACACTCACACGGCACACACACAGTCACACACACAGTCACACACACAGCATACACACACACTCATACACACACGACACACACACAGCATACACACACACTCACACAGCATACACACACAGGGCATACACACACACAGTCACACACACAGCATACACACACACACTCACACACACATGGCACACACACAGCATACACACACTCACACAGCATACACACACAGCATACACACACACGGCACACACACTCACACACACACACACACACACATGCACACCGCCTCAGCCACTAAGTCAGGAACTTTCTCAACCGACCTTTGCGCTATCAAATCTCCATCGGTTTTAAGTATGGGTATTGTGGAAGCAGGCGGCACTCCATTTATTTAATTAGCATTTACCAACACCCTCCGTGGGCACATCCTGTTTATCAGGGCGTCTCTCGTCACCTCTGGGTTTGTCTGTGTGTCTGCATTGACATCTGTCCACGCCGGATTGTGTCTTCCTGTGTCTCTCTTTAATTTAAAAGCTCTTGTTCATTTTCCGTGTGCATGTGCGTGTGTGTGCAGTGTGTGTGTGTGTGCCGTGTGTGAATTCACAACCTGTGTGCATTCTCTCCGTCCACCATGAGGGTCATCAGGCGTGGTAGCAAGCACCTCTCCCCACTGAGCCATCTGGACAAGCCTCCTGTATCTGCTTATTATTTCTTTTTTGTTTTTTTGTTTGTTTGGTGGGTGGGTGGGTTGGTCTTCTTCTTCTTCCTTCTTCTTCTTCTTCTTCTTCATCTTCGTCTTCGTCTTCTTCTTCTTCTTCTTCTTCTTTTTGCATACAAAGTCTCTCTGTGTAACAGCCATGGCTGTCCTGGAACTCTCAGAGATCCGTCTCTGCCTCCCTGGTGCTGGATTAAAGGCGTGCGTCCTTTGTTTATTATGTCTTTAAGACAAGAGGTCATGCATCCTAGGCTGGCTTTGTGGCCATTGCGTTCAGTTTTGTTTGTTTGTTTTTGTTGCTGTGGTTGTGGTTTTGCAGCCCTGGGGTTCGAACCTGGGACGCTAGGCAAGTGCTCTACCAGCTGAGCCACAGCCTTGACCTGTCATCCTGCACCTCATACGTGATCATTTTTATTTCTCTCCCTCTCTTGATGCTCATTCATTCATTCATCCACCCAACCAGCCATCCAGAGCCCCAAACATCCCTCGGGGCCGCAGTGAAATCTCCCATCTAATGTGAGAGAGAAACACAGCCCATCCTACACGACCAGAACCGGCAGCAGGGAGGGCAGCAGGGAGATGCGGGAGACTGAAGAGAGACAGCAGAGTCGGGAAATGGGGTCAGAGAAGACTGGGGGTGGGGAGGATGGCTGGGTGCCCCCCGTGGAGATTCGATCCCGGGATTCCAAGCCTGGGTTTGTGTGGGTGCTGAGGGCTGGCGTGGGGGAGCAGAAATCGGGGGACCTAACCAGCACAGAATGTAGGATGGATACAAACAGACCGGCGAGATACAAACCGCCCTAAAATCAAGGTTGCAGGCTCCTGATGCCTTCCTCCGGACCCAGGAGCCCGAGCCCCACCCCTTTATTCCAGAAGCCCCACCGTGATTACTTAGGAGGCCACGTGAAGGAGGGCGGAAGGGCGGGGTGGAGGAATCTGGAATCCTGGCCAGGCTGGGTGGCCGGGATGCCTGGGTATCAACAGGGAAAACTCGCCTGACGGCGAGTCAGAGTGGCAGGAGTTGTCCTTGGTGTCACATCTCAGCTCCGCTGGCTGCCATGGGAATCCCCAAGACCGTCCTGCCCGTTCTTCTCGGGATCGGGCTCTGCCTCACAGGTACCCACCTGCGCTGAGTCCAGTGCCAAGAGGGCCTGGCCCAGGAGCCCTTGGGTCCCAGGGGAGAGCTGGGCCTGGAGCCTGGTCTGAAGGAGGAGGCTGGGCCTGGACCCCGGGTCTGAGGGAGGAGGCTGGGCCTGGACCCTGGTCTGAGGGAGGAGGCTGGGCCTGGACCCTGGGTCTGAAGGAGGAGGCTGGGCCTGGACCCCGGGTCTGAGAGAGGAGGCTGGGCCTGGACTCTGGGTCTGATGGAGGAGGGCTTGTTCTCTTGAACCTTGAGATGGTGGAGACCATGCTTGCATTGCTTCTCATCCTCTCTGAACCCCGCATTGTCGTCTCCTCTGACGCGGGTCTCGCTTCCTCTCCCTCCCGCCCCCTCACTGAGGGAATTTCTGGGGAGCATTTGGGGCTCCCCCTGGATCTGGCAAGGACCTTAGCTCGTCTTTGGACTCTTCTCCTATAGGGACTTACTCACTTGAACGTTAATGGGTCACGAGGGGAGAATTAGAACGATATTAAGCAAACGCTTCCGGCACGATGCTTAATGTGTGCGCGCCTGCTCACCATGGGATAGTTAGGTATCTGCGCGTGTCCCTCCAACCACATGTGCTTCTCGGTACCAGATTTCTATATCTAAGTATCAGAGTGTGTGTGTGTGTGTGTGTGTGTGTGTGTGTGCGCGCGCGCGCGCACGCGTGTGTATGTGTTCGTGTGTGCATGTGTACGTGCGTGTGTGCGCGTGCGTGTATGTCTGTGTGTGTTTGTGTGTGTGTGTGAGCGCAGGTGCTAGCCTGACCATCCAGGTTTGATCCCTAACACCCACACGGTGAAAAAAAAAAAGAGAATTGACTCCTCAAACTATCTGCTCTCTGATCTCCATATATGCACTGGGTGGGGCATACCATGCCCCTCCCTCCACATTATAAATAAAATTCAGTAGGAAAAATTGAGACAGGGTTTGTCTGTGCAGCCCTGGCTGACCTGAAACTTTCAGTGTAGACCAGGCTGGCCTCAAGCTCACAGAGATTCCCCTGCCTCTGCCTCCCGAGTGCTGGGATCAAGGCGTGTGCCACCAACGCCTGGCTGCTGGTGTCATTTCTAAAGGCATAATTGTGCTCTCCTTCTTGTGCAGGTGATTCTCTCTCCCACAACTTTCAACTTCTTTAAAAAAAATTATGTCTGGGGTGTGTGTGTGTGTGCGCGTGAGTGTGCGCGTGCGTATGGTGTGTTTGTGCCTGTGCATGCGCGTGTATGTGTGTGTATGTGGTGTGTGTTATGTGTGTGTGGGGGGCGCTTGCATCCATGTGTGTGTCCGTATACACGTGCGTGTATGTGTGTGTGGTGTGTATGTGTGTGTGAGTGTGTGTGTGTGTGTGTGCGTGTTGGCACATGCCACAGCTCACATGCAGAAGTCAGAAGACAACTTGCAGGAGCTGATGCTCTCCTTACATCACGTGGGTCCTGGGGACCAAACTCAGAAGCTCAGGTTTGACAGCAATGGCTTTCACCCACTGAGCCGTCTGGTTGGTCCTCTCTCAGCTTCTGTGTCCCGTGGTCTTCTGTCGTCGTTAGGGCGCATGCAAAATGTGCAGACACCAGAGCTTGTGAGTGAGGTGGAGCCCCCTTTAGGTGGCTTTGTGGGGCCTAAGTGTGGCATGTCGATCCTTACAGGATCTTGGGGGGACACTGGGGCTGCATCCAGGCTGCTCTGCATGAATTTACTAGAAGGTTTGCACAAACCTGTGTCGGCACTTGGGCCAGAGTTCACTTGTGCTGCTGAGCTGGCTATGTGTGTGAGACTGCACGCTTCCTGCCGTGGGGTATAGACAGCTTGGGGGTGTCTGCTGAGCGACGGGTAGAGCAGGAGGAAGATCACGTCAGCCCCAATGCAAGCAGCTGAGGGCTTGGAGGGCCATGGTGGCACTTGGCAAACGACAAAACTCTCTCGTGGTGACATGAGGCACAGCAGCCCGGTGTGTGTCTGTCCCAGTGTGTGGAGCCCTAGGTCCTGCGACAGGTCCCCCTTACCTGCTAACACACGCCTGCCTCTCCTAGGCTCCCAAGCCCTACAGTGCTACAGTTTCGAGCACACCTACTTCGGACCCTTTGACCTCAGCTCCATGACATTCCCCAGTGTCTCCTGCCCGCAGGGATGCTCTGAGGCCATGCTGCTGCTCGACACTGGTGAGGACCTGGGGGCAACAAAAGGGTGTGCAGCCAGAGAGATAAAGAGGAGATGGAGAAGGGAGGGAGGGAGGGGGAGAGAGAGAGAGAGAGAACAAGAAATGGGTTCCACAGAAGAGGAGGAGAGAAACAGGAAAGTAGGGATGGAGGAGGAGGACATGGCTGGGCATGGTGGTTCCTGAGATCCTGGCACTCTGGAGATAGACACAGGAGCACTGTGTGTTTGTGGCCAGCCTGGGCTACGTGGGAAAGAGAGAAACAGGCATGGCGGCACAAGCCTCTAATCCAGGCACCTGCAATCCTTGGAGGGGGGAAGCAGGAGGATCACAAGTTCAGGGTCATCCTTGGCTACACAGCAAGCTTCGGGCTAGCCCAGGGCTATACGAAACTCTGTCTCAGAAAAACAAACCAAACGGGGCTGGTAAGACGCCTCGGTGGTAAGAGCACTGGCTGCTCTTCTGGGGACCAGGTTTGGCTCCCAGCTCTTCGTCCGTGGCTCACGACCCACTGTTAGCTCCAGTTCCAGGGGATCTCACACCCTCTTCTGGCCTGTGTGATCACTGCGTGTGTGCTGCATACAAACTAAAATTAATTTTAAAAATATTTAAAAAACAACAGAGACAAAGAGAGCTGAGGGAAGAGAAGGGAAGGGGGAGGGGAGGGGAAGGGGGAGGGAGGGGGAATGAGGAACATTAAATAAAGGAGGGTAAGAAGCGAGGGAAGGACAGAAGAGGGGAATATGACATGGACACCGGGCGGAAAGAAAGGTAAAAGAAAAATGAGACCAGACAGCGAACGGCGGAATGGGAGGAGGGAGGAGGCCCAAACTGAGTGGGAGGAGCAGACCAGCAGGAGGGGGAGGGCGAGGCCACTCCAGGCTCGGTGCTTTCCCCAGGGTACCGCTCCCTGGTGACAATTGTCCGCAAGGGCTGCTGGACCGGCCCCACCACCGGCCCCATGCAGACCAACCAGGACGCGCTGCCGCCCGACTACGCGGTGGTCCGCGGCTGCGCGACGGACTTCTGCAACACCCAACTCAAGAACCACGACACCCTCCCCAACCTGAGCCAAGGTGTGCGGGGGGCGGGGCTGGAGAGGTCGGGGGCGGGGCTGGAGGGGGTGAGGGGCGGGCAGGAAGACGGGGATAGGGCTGGAGAGGTGGGCGGGGCTGAGGGTCCGGGGGCGGGGCTGCAAGACGAGGATACGGCTGGAGAGGTGGGGCGGGGCTGAGGGGCCGGGGGCGGGGCTGGAGAGGTGGGGCGGGGCTGAGGGGCCGGGGGCGGGGCTGGAGTGAGGGGGCGGGGCTGAGGGTCCGGGGACGGGGCTGGAGAGGTGGGGCGGGGCTGAGGGGCCGGGGGCGGGGCTGGAGAGGTGAGGGGCGGGGCTGAGGGGCGGGGGCGGGGCTGAGGGTCGAGGGCGGGGCTGAGGGGCCGGGGGCGGGGCTGGAGAGGTGAGGGGCGGGGTCTGGGCTGAGGGGCCGGGGGCGGGGCTGAGGGGCCGGAGTCGGGGCTGCAGAAGTGGGGCAGGGCTGGAGAGGTGAGGGGCGGGGCTGAGGGGCCGGGGTCTGGGCTGAGGGTCGAGGGCGGGGCTGAGGGGCCGGGGGCGGGGCTGAGGGGCCGGGGGCGGGCTGAGGGGCCGGGGGCGGGGCTGAAGAGGCGGGGGCGGGGCTGAAGGGTCTGGGGAGAGGCCTCCTCTGAGCTCGGCTCAGGCAGGGGGATGCCAGGCTCCTCTTTGGCATGAGCAGATGCACTGCGCGCCCGGCGCTGCCCGTCCGGAGCAACCTGTCTGTCTCTTGGTCTAACCCATCCACTGTCTTCTACAAGCACCTGACCCACCGACGCTCAGTGGCACCGAGTGCTACGCCTGCTTGGGGACCCGCCCTGAAGACTGCTCCCCTGAGAGGTCCCGACGGGTCCAGTGCCACCAGGGCCAGAGCGTCTGTTTCCAGGGCAATGGCCAGATGAACATCGGTGAGAGGCTGGTGTGGTGGGATGGCCTGGGATAGGGAGGTGGCGTTGCCGAAGATCCGAGGGCGGAGGCACTGGGGAAGCTTCGTTCTCGGGGGCCTTGGTCTGGGGCAGGAGGCTCGTCTGCGCTCGCCCTGGTCCACAGAGCTACCTGAGATGCGCCGGAGCTCACGGGAGGCCCCCTCCCACGGCCTGACCCCTCCTCACTGTCCACCCAGGCAACTTCTCGGTGCCCGTGTACATCCGGACGTGCCACCGGCCCTCCTGCACCACCATGGGCACCACCAGCCCCTGGACGTCCATCGACCTGCAGGGTTACTGCTGCGAGGGCCACCTCTGCAACAGGGACTCGGTGACACAGACCCTCCCCGGCGTCACGTCCCCAGCCCCTCCCCGGGCCCCCCGAATCCTGATCCTGCTGCTCGTTGCTCCACTACTGGCCATCGCTCTGGGAGGGTCCTTTGGGATCCCCGCGTAGACAGGGCCTCCAGGACCGCTTCGCTTCTCACCACCCGAGCCCCTAGAGCGGGCTCCCTTAAAAATGGCATCAAAACGAGAAGCCCACTCCTATAGCCCCAGTCACAGTCTTCCATCCGTCTATGCACCCCTCATTACTGCACTGCCCCCACCTCCTGAAGGCCTGGGAACTAATCAGTGCTTTGATAGAGTGAGGGCCCTCAAAATCCAACCAGCTTTCAACAGAGTCACCCTGCTGCTCACCAAGCCATCAACGCACGAGCCTTTTGTGACACCTCACAGCCAAGCCCTGCCACTCGCCTTAAAAGCCATTTCTCACAAGGGTGATGGTAATCCCAGCACCCAAGAGGCTGAGGCAGGAGGATCACTGCTTCAAGGCCAAGCTGGATAACACTGCAAGTTATAGGTCCAGCCTTGAGCTATACTGTGAGACCCATCGGGCAGGGGTAGCACACCTTTAATCCCAGCACATTGGAGGCAGATGTAGATGGGTCTGTGAGTCTGAGGTCAACCTGGTCTACATAGTGAGTTTGAGGGCAGTCAAGGCTACATAGTGAGACCCTGTTTCAAAAGAAAAGGGGGGGAGGGAGGGAGGAAGGAAGAGGGGGGGGAAGGGAGGGAGGAAGAGAGGGGGGAAGGGAGGGAGGGAGAATAAAACCCCTGCTTTTCAGTTTCTCTATAGCACAGCCGACATACGTACTACAGCCCAGAAGCCCCACTCTTGGCTCTACCAACCCAACAGAAATCAGTTCATAGGCTCCCCCAAACTAAATAGACTAGCAGGACAGTTCATACTAGCCACAAACTGAAAGCAGCACTAATAAATACGAACAGCCAAATGGGACGAGGAGGTTATGATCTAGTCACACAATGGAGTACGACATAGCCATGAAAAATGTCAGTTGACAGTTACCTTGGAAGAATCTGGCAAAAATCGTGTTGAGCAAAATAGGAAAGACACACATAAGATTCCATTCAAAGCAAAGTATAAACGTTGGTTTAAAAACAAAAACAAAAAACAAGCGGGCTCAGTTAGAAGTCAGAAGAGTGGTTATCTTTGGGGACAAGTGACCAGAAGAGGGAATATGGGGTGCTTGGAGGTCTAGACACTGAGCTATGAGAGCTAAGAATTCACTGATCCAATTTTCCTCTTTTCACCAAACTTTCTGTTGTTGTTTTGGGAAAAGGTCTCATGTAGCCCAGGCTGGCCTCAAACCCATTGTGTAGCCTAGGATGACCCTGATCCTTCCATCTTTACCTGCCAGACACTGGGATGACAGATTCAAGCCATCACACCTGACTTTTCTCAACTTTCCACATATATGTTATTTGCAATAAACGGTTTTAAAAATATGCAAACTTGCCGGGCGTTGGTGGCGCACACCTTTAATCCCAGCACTCGGGAGGCAGAGGCAGGCGGATCTCTGTGAGTTCAAGACCAGGCTGGACTACCAAGCGAGTTCCAGGACAGCCTCCAAAGCCACAGAGAAACCCTGTCTCGAAAAAACCAAAAAAAAAATGCAAACTTTATTGATGGGAAAGAGGCAGATAGAGGGGGTGCAGGGGAACAATCGGGCCCACCCTTTTCTTTTCTTTTTTTTTTTTAATATTTTATTTATTTATTGTGTATACAGTCTTCTGCCTGCATGCCAGCAGAGGGCACCAGATCTCATTCAAGGTGGTTGTGAGCCACCATGTGGTTGCCGGGAATTGAACTCAGGACCTCCGGAAGAACAGTCAGTGCTCTTAACCTCTGAGCCATCTCTCCAGCCCCCGCCCACCCTTTTCTTAAAATTGTATGTTTAGAGACAAGTAGCTGAGTTGGAGTTCTGCCTCCTCACACCGGCTTTTGAATCGTAGGCAGCACATTTAAATGGCAAGGATTGAGACAGATGAGGTGCCATTAATCTATGGTCCCAGACACTGGGAGGCTGACAGGAGGGGTTCTTGAGTTCAAGGCCAGCACAAGTAACTTAGTGGGACTCTGTCTCACATTTTAAAAACAAGTCAAGTGGCAGTGGCGCATGCCTTTGATCCCATCACTCGGGAGGCAAAGGCAGGTGGATCTCTGAGTTCTAGGACAGCTTGGTCTATAGAGTGAGTTCTAGGACAGCCAGGGCAATGCAGAGAAACTGTCTCAAAAAAATGGAAAAAATCCAGGTGGTGGTAGCATACACTTTTGGTCCCAGCACTTGGGAGACAGAGGCAAGTGGATCTCAGTGAGTTCAAGGATAGTCTGATCTACAGAGGGAGTTCCAGGACAGCCAGGACTCCTACACTGAGAAAACATGTCTCAAAAAACAACAAAAGAGTGACATGGGGAGAAGGAGAAAGGGGTTTATTTCATCTCATAGTCATTCCATCATAGGGGAGAAGTCACGGTGACAGGGTCAGGAGGTGGCTGGTCACTTTGTATCCATAGTCAGAAGCAGAGCAGTGGATGCTAACGCTTAGCTCACTTCCTCCCCACCGTTCTGTGTGGACTGTGTCACCCACAGTCAAGGCAGGGCCTTCTCTCAGTTAACTCCATGTGGAACACCCCTCACAGATGTGCCCAGAAGTTTGTCTCCTAGGTGACTCTGGCTCCTGTGAAGTTGACAGTCAGGGCATGGGAGGCGCCTGTGGTGAGGCTGCGGCCTCAGCCAGGTCTTGAGGGATGAGTAAGAGCCTGTCAGGAGGGCGCAGGTGGGGAAGCATGCCAGGCAAAGGGACCCATCTATGCCAAGGCCTCACAGGCACACATTGGATGGCAAGAGCACAGGGCAGAGGCAGGAATCAAAAGCAAGGGGCAGCCATTTGGAACCTGTTCTTCTGGGCTGGTGTGTCCCCAGCCCCAGCAATTAGTCAGAGCCAGCCTGCCCTCCTGATCTGGAAAGATAGAGTCACAACCTGCAGGCTTAGGGTGGGGGAAACTGGATATGAGTCAGATATGGGGGAGGCGGAGGAAGAAGATCAGGAATTCACTGTCTATCTCTGATACATAATGTCTAGCCTGAGCTGCATCCCCTGAAACATAATGTCTAGCCTGAGCTACATCCCTGATACATAATGTCTGGTCTGAGCTGCATTCCTGATACATAATGTCTTGTCTGAGATGCATCCCCTGATACATAATGTCTAGCCTGAGCTGCATCCCCTGATACATAATGTCTAGCCTGAGCTGCATCCCTGATACATAATGTCTAGCCTGAGCTGCATCCCCTGAAACATAATGTCTAGCCTGAGCTGCATCCCCTGATACGTAATGTCTAGCCTGAACTACATAAGACCTTATCCCAAAACAAACAAACAAAAGCAAGAAAAAGGAGTATGATCCAGTAAGGGAAGTCCAAAAAGGAGCCGGAGGGGACAATTTTGATGAGCATGGATGTACAAGAAGAAGCCTGTGTGACAAAGCAGTCAGAGAGATTTTAGGACCACTTGCATAGAGTCGGGACAGGGTCCGTGAGTGAACAAAGGTACTTGCCACGAAAATCTGGTGACCTGTGCTCGCTCCCTGGATCCGGCATGCTGGAAGGAGAGAACAGACTCCCCAGAGTCGTCCTCTGACCCCCACACATGTGCCTTGTCGAATGTGCGCATACACTCACCTCCGTGAGAAACAAGAAATAAAATCTAGAAAGTGAGCTTAGAGAGTTGGGATGCACTCACGTGTGAAGGCGAAGATGAGCAAGCAAAGGGAGACTTTGTCCTGGGAATACTGTGTGCCAACCAGCAGCCGTCTCCGTTTCCTCCCACAGCCGTGGAAGCCATGGGGGGCGGGGTCTGGAGGTGGAGAGGAGCATGATGGAAGCCAAGACGTCTGACCACACCGGAGGCAGGGGCAGAGGGAGAAGGCCAGCGAGGGCGACTCTTCCAAGTCTCCAAGGCCAGAGGGAGAAGGAAGGGGGCAGGGGTATGTGAGGTGAGGGCTATGGGAACGTCCTTCTCCTATGGAGGAGGGGAAGGTGAGTGCGATGCTAACGACCCTGCGTGGGACTCTGCAAACAGTCTGAACCCTCCCGGAGTGGCAGCGGCTGGGAATCCACTGGCTGCTCTTATTCCAAAGTGGACCTTTCCGTCTTTTTCAAATCGGTGGTGGCGCGTGCCTTTGATCCCAGCACTCGGGAGGCAGAGGCAAGCGGATCTCTACGAGTTCAAGACCAGCCTGGTCTATAGAGCCAGTTCCAGACAGGCTCCGAAGCTAGAGAGAAACTGTAAGGATTCAGATACTTTGCTGGCCCGCCCCTGTCACCTGGCAGAATGCACTCAGGCAGTACCCTGGTCAGCCCAGGGTTCCATAATTGTGTAGTCTGCACGCGGGTGCAAAGGACCCCTTTAAAAGACAGACCCCGCCCACTTACACACAATCGGTTGTCTTTTGCATCCAGTCCTCCCTTAGTCTCTGGGACGCTGGAGATTACAGGCTTTGGAGCTTCTCTGCCCACGGAAGCTGGGCGCCCTATATCAAACCATGTGCCCGCTATTGGCACCCTACATTCCACCAGTGACCGACTGTTGGGAGTGTGGCCTCTGCTCTTCCTCACTGGTCTGTTCCCCTCCTCTTCCGGGCATGCTAAAACTCCCCTGCCTGCCACAGTGGCGTTGTCCTGCCGCTTCCCATCAGGGCGGGAGCCTCCTTCCACCTGAGAATGCCCTGTTTCACTAGAACTCTTTCGCTCCTATTCGAAGTGTCTCTCACTCTCCGATTCGCCCTATGTGTGATGCCAGCGGCTCACAGTGAGCTGGCCTGGGACAGCGTCTGCTCAGGACGCTCTGAGGTTCTCATTTTTTCCCCCACGAATGAGGTTTTCAGGTTTTCTACTGACTGGTGCATTCGTTTCTGGAACCCACCCGAGGGGTCTCTGGGCTTTTGTACCCTAGCACTGCCCGTAGATGGTGCATTCGTTTCTGGGACCTACAATGGTTTGGTTTGGGATGTTGTGCCCCTTGGACTCTGGTGTCCTGTTGGTTTCACACGTCTTTCTTCCTCACTCGTGGAGAAAAAAAAAAGCTAACAAAATCATATCTGAAAACTTTCTAACTTCTGTCGGATGGGAACGGGCTTATGGAAGCAGCCATCTTGACCACGTGGCCTAGCTATAGGCACGCCCACTCTATGGGTCACTCCCTCCCCTCTGCCTGCTGACTTTTTGCCTTTTATTTTTGTCTCTAATTTCTTTATCTGGGTGATTCTTGTCACTGGCAGTTTTAATTCTATTCTGTTTCTTTAAATGTGCTCTCTGTTTGCTGCAATGTGCAAATCAGAGATCAGACTCTGCTCTCCTTACTTTTACCCAGTCCTCCTTAATATATATGTGTGTGTGTGTGTGTGTGTGTGTGTGTGTGTGTGTGCATATAATTGTATGTAGAGTTAGCTTACATTTTTAAACAGTAGCTATGTTTAAAAATGTAAGCTAACTCCATATACAATTAAATTCAACTGTGCTAAGTCTCAAATATTTCTAAAATGTTATGTATTTTTAAATGATGGTAGACATTTAAGGTTATAAGACCTATTTCAAATTAACAAAATATTATACCACTCAGTCCTTCCCTTAAGCTGTTTACAAAGGTTAAGCTATTACAAAAGG